AAGACAATGGAAAAACAAGAGTATTATGATTAATGCGTGAAGGCCTGCAGTAACTATTATGTGATTTTATTTTTAAGAGATAAGCTCACTTTGAATATTCTACTATGATGTTTTGGTAGAACTTTGTAATAATATATTACAAATAAATATAATGTATAAATATATTTAATATATATTAAATTAATATATTAGAGTCTAAAAACCCTTTTTATTAGGAGCAAATTTCTTCCGCCATTTATTCACATCTGCAGCTGACGTCAGAACAGCAGAAGCCGTTACTAATTCAACAACATCACTTTAGAGCTAGTGTTTGAATGACTCTCTATAGCTTTATGTCTAAAGTGATGACAAAACAGCTATTTTGCTCACACTTTAAGATTATAAGGCTGAACGTGACATGAAATGCCAACCATCAACAGAGGTATCTTCTTACAGTGTTACAGTTTACAGTATTTCTCTGTAGCAATCAGGATATCACAATAATTAACCCCTAAAAAACCTACCAGACTGCTGTTGTGTTTGCGATGAGGAAAAACGCTAAACACATGTGGACTTTGCTTCTTTCTTTCTTTCTGCCAACACAACATACATTCCTGATATTCGAGCAAATCGGTATAAATACAACACTGCGACATACAAAAGAGAGAGATCGACTTAGAATATCACTTACCAGCATACCTGCCAGCAGACCGGGGGGAGGGGGTTTGGGGTGAGGTCTCTGACACTGTTGAGGACCGGGATAGGATGCAGCAGGTTTTGGGTGGCCGCTTTGATCGGTTACTGTACCAAAGTTGGCAACCCAGGGTTTTTTACAGATACCAAGAGGGGGGTGGGTGAAATTACATGAGTTTTCCGGGAGAAATAAAAAACGGGATGGTTGCAGGAGATTGGTCTAAAATACGGGATACTCCCTTGAAAAACAGGAGTGTTGGCAGGTATGCTTACCAGTTTAATAATGATTTGAACAGCTGTAATAAGAAATCAGACTGTTATAATATTCTATAATCTTCTAAGCGTAAGGGCTTATAATGCGGTTCTGTTGCCATCTTGTGGATAGAAAACGTCAACTATCTTTGGTCTACTACACAATGGCAGGCTAATGGCCACTGACGAGCTCTCTCAGAAATAGTAAATATTTTAAAATAGGCACTTTTCTTACAAATAAACTGCTTAGTTGCAATCTAAACAACTACATTTTGACTAAAAAAGCCTCAAAAGTTCATTTTGTTGTCTAACAGCAGTAATATCTGTCAAACTGTAGTCTCTCTCTGCTTTTTGCTGGCTGTATGTGGGTGGAGTAATACACAAAGGTGAAGGGCCTTTGTGTGATGTTACCGGCAAAATATTGCACGGCTATCAGCAAATCAGATTCAAGAACCAGAACTGTTATATATATATATATATATATATATATATATATATATATATATATATATATATATATATATATATATATATATATATAGAGAGAGAGAGAGAGAGAGAGAGAGAGAGAGAGAAAGAGATAGATAGATAGATAGATAGATAGATAGATAGATAGATAGATAGATAGATAGATAGATAGATAGATAGATAGATAGATAGATAGATAGATAGATAGATAGATAGATAGATAGATAGATAGATAGATAGATAGATAGATAGATAGATAGATAGATAGATAGATAGATAGATAGATAGATAGATAGATAGATAGATAGATAGATAGATAGATAGATAGATAGATAGATAGATAGATAGATAGATAGATAGATAGATAGATAGATAGATAGATAGATAGATAGATAGATAGATAGATAGATAGATAGATAGATAGATAGATAGATAGATAGATAGATAGATAGATAGATAGATAGATAGATAGATAAAACCTAAAACCCTAAATCCTCAAACCCAATACCATGACAGACTAATGGCTTTTAGACTTGTTGCTGGTAATAGACTGGATGATTGTTTTTTTTTTTTTTTTGGTCCTGTGTGTCCATTTCTCCCCAAAATATCTGAAATACTGATTCAACTGACCACAGTACATATTTTCTTTGCGTGATTGACCATTGCAGATGCCACTGAGCCCACAGTAGTCATTGCCGCTTTCAGACACGGTTGACATAGGACTTCCTTTATATATATATATATATATATATATATATATATATATAAGTTGATCAGACAAAAATGAAAAAATTGTGTTCATATTGTCTGCAATGATATACAAGTTAAAGTAAATTTGGAAAACACTACTTTTTTTAACAGCATTTTCCATATTGTCCCAACCTTTTCTGGTTTAGAGTTGTATATTATATAGGTGTCGTATGTGTCTGTGTCCCATTAATATATCTTAAATTTAATTTGCAATGCCTTTTCATGTTTGCAGAGTATTAGTCTAGTACAAACACAGAAAAAAGTACTACAGAAATGACCATAACCAGCCTTCTGCACCTATTCATCTTCAACAGCAAGTACTAAAAATAAAAATGTCTATTACATTAGTAACATGTATGCAGTGTAAAGTGAGCTTCGAAACCATGTTCTTTTGTTGCTACAGCAGTTCAAGATGAATCGAGTCTCAGAGCACCTTTGACAGTGATACATTACCAAGTCCAAAAGTGAGGTTATAACACAAGTACATTTATAGTAGAGTTTACCTCAGCCAGACAAACAAACAAACACACACAAAGCAGAGAATAAAACTAAAGTATGATTATACAAAATTTAATGACTGGGATCAATATGATCAAAGTGCATATTTGTGTGCTAAAACACACCTGAATGTAGCATTAAAATATAACGTGTCAGTGATATACTTTTGTTAGATATATTCTCATGATACAGTTTTAAATGAATGTTTACTAATATGTACTTAAAATTAAAACTTTTATTCAATTTGTACAATTGTGTGTTTTGTTGATAACTGAATATATAAAAATATATCAACATTACATTAAATTACATTATAATATACATTTTAAAAAATGACTAACTTTTTTACGCAGTATAATATTCAAAAAATATTAGAAAAATATTTTTATTGCAAAATATTAAATCCTTTTTTATATTTAATATCCAACACACAGCGAAATTGACTTTTGCAGGTAGAATCATATTAAAATGACCGTAATCTGCATATTTATTTACTTATATATATTTATAAAAAACGCTAAATATTAAAGCATATTTTTAAAATGCATTTTAACACTAATATTGTTCATTTAAAACGTTAAACAAGTTAAGGAGGAATGAAAGTGGTTAAACGGACATGTATGCCATCATGATAACATCAGCACAATAGATTTCCTAAAAAATAAGTTGCATTAACATTAAATAACAATATGAGGATGTATTAACAACAAGAAAAACATAAGTCTCGTCCCGAATGCTGACTGCTCAATACAATTGTGTTCAATAAGCAACACATTCTAGGTCTCAACTAATCTTCAACTAAAATACAGGGATAAAACATTGATCAATTAATATCAATTAATATAATACAGTGTTTTATGAGTATATTTAAGCACATTTCATAAGTCATAGATTAAAAGCATAAGATGTTTTTTTAAAACTTCTATATGACCAAGACTTATCTAAATGAATGTGGGGGGGATTGGGTCTTAATCTTTTGCTTTTAAATTTCATTTCAACTCAATGAAGAACTAATTTCAACAAAATGTTAAGTGAGCTGGTCTGAATTTTAGTAAGGAATAGAGTGTAAAAGTGATTGTCCATATAAGAGATTTTATTTGTTTAGCCTGTTTCCCAAAAGCATCATACCTTAAGTAGATCTGGAAATTTGCTGTAGATATACTAGTGCTTTGGAGTAATTTTTTAAAGCCCTACGTCAGGGGTGTCAAACTCAGTTTCTGGAGGGCCATAGCCCAATTAGTTTGATCAGGTGTGTTTAATTAGGGTTGGAACTGAACTGTGCAGAGCTGCGGCCCTCCAGGAACTGAGTTTGATACCTGTGCCCTCGAAAGATCATCAGCAGGACAATCAGCAGATTGCACCTATAAATTTAAGCACAAGGTGATTAAAATAATAAAAGCTTAAGATTTTGATTGTACTTTATTGTATACTTTATTACTTCAATTAATTTATCAATTATATAATTAAAAAAGTACAGATTTTTGTTTGATTAAACAACATAAACAGACAAAAATGATAAAAAAAATAAATAAATAGAATAAAATAAGCCAATGAGATTTACCATGCTTTGGGTGTGTTTGTTGTTGTTTGCATAACCCTGAATGTTCTGTAACCTTAAAGTTATCTTTCTTTCTTTTTCCCCATCCATTTTCCAGTACATTAGTCTGTGGATACAGTAGGTGTTTTTATAGACTTGTTGATCATTGTTAGATCACTTGTTGATCTTGTCGCTAATCCACATGATATGATGATTTTTGGGTTAAACTCAAAATGTGATACAACAAGATATGACTCCATATAAAGTAACTTTTCAGGATTTTGGAAGTAGATGGGGACTCCTAAGTAGCACATGAATGGATTCTTGCATAATCATGATATGTACATTTTTGGGAACACACATGGAATTTCAAACAGCGTTCATAACCTTGCACATACAGACAGAATTGCCAAAATGCTCTGTCCTGTACTTTTGTTGCTCAAGCTCTAATTAATTATATAGTTTGCTCCAGCTATTGCGCACAGACTAGGAAGTATTTCACAACACCAGTCTCCTATGTGGCTGTTCCAGTGGTAACCAGAGGACATGCTTAAATAAACTGAAATAACAGAGACAGAACCTGGAGCAAAGACTAGAGGACAACACTGGAATGACACAATATGTTATGCGATGTGATGTATAATGCAATCTAGCATTTCTCCTGTCAAAAGCGATTCTCCCAAAGAATCAAGTTTGTTTGTAAAGTTTGGTGATTGGCTGATTTGTCTAGAAGGAAGGGCATTCTTTGCAATTGAATATTGAACTATTGATTGTAATTTGAGTGGACTATCTTTCTGTATATATAAGGTTTGGCTCTACTCACCTGCACATTTGGTTCTGCTGACCAGTGGGGGTCCAGGCGGGCCGGTTCCACCCTCTCCAGGCCGAGTAAGAAGAACACTGATGCGATACTCTGTATCTGGCTCCAGGTGCCAAACTTTATAAGTCAGTGAGTTGACTCCATGTGTTTCAGACCAGGGTGAATGACTGGCCCTGTACACAATCTCTCTACGAATCACCGGCCCGTCGCCCACTATAGAGTTAGTGTTCAGCTGGATGATCAGGTAGGTGGGGCCAGAGCGCAGCAGCTGGGGTGGAGCAATCGGTGTGGGCGGGACTACAAGACAATACAGGGGGAAAAAATTAGAATGTACTGTATTAAGATTGGCATCACTCTTTATGTGGTTTAAGACAACATGTCTGTCGACCACTTAATGCACGTCTGATGCATAAGGCACACTAACAGTGAAGCACTTCAAGAATCCTCTAATTTATTAAACTCTACATGTTTTCCAGAATATTTGTGTGATGTTTGACACAGTCAGCCTGGAAGCAATCATGCTGCAGAACTGCCTCACAGAACTAGAAAGTAATAATTTTTACAACTTTAACAATGATTTATGCTAAGTAAATCAGTCAAAAGAATAATAGCCACGTTGTCATTCAGCATACGTAAGCAGTAAAACTTAACACTGACTGTCATATAATTCCTTTACATATCACTCACTCACTTTCTCTAGATCAGAGATCACCACAGTAAAATGAGCTTCCCATTACTTTGACATGTGTTTTATGCAAAGGGTGCCCTTCCAGGTGCAACCCACACAGAAATGCCAGAACTCAAACCAGCGACCTTTTTGCTGTGAGGCTACCATGCTAAACACTGGGGCCATCACGCCACCTATTTAATGTAGAAGCTGAAATAGATCATTGTATGATATTTAACAATGAAGTCAACCGAAATCAAAATAAACCAAAACTCAAAGCTCCCTGAACTGCTCTTTTTATTAAATATAGCCAAAAATATATATTTTATTTATGAAATAAGAAAACAGTCAAACAGATCATCTGCAGCATGAGGATAAAGAACCTGCCTCTTCCATTTAACCTCTTTACTTGCTCTTTCTCTCTTTGGGGATAAGGAGTGTTTGGGATAAGGTGTTGTATGCACTCCACTGAAACCATCTATTAGACTATATAATTAATTTTGTTTGTTAAGTGCAAAAAATTTGTTTAAAAACTATTTCTAAATTCAGTTCTAATTTCCAGCAAATTAATAAATTAACATTAATAATGAATTGTTATACCGCCGGTTTCATATAATTGTTATATCGTAACACACGTCCCATGTCCCATAGGGTCTAAAATCTAACAGGTGGACAAATCTAAGAAAAAAAACAAGTATAAATATGCATAAAATAAATAATAACAATAAATAATAATAATAACATATAAACATAATAAACTAAAAAAAGCCCCCTGAGATGAAGAAAACATGGAGGCAGAAAGTTTTTTTTTTTTTTTATATTTAAATCCTTAATTTATTTTTTTTTTTTTTACATTTGTAAATATATATTTGCATATTGCTTTACATCCCGTGTGTATTAAGCAATATGTAAGTGAGGCGCACAACTAACAAGCTCTGCACTGGACTATTGCACAGTCTATTTTAGTTCCTCAAAATAGCATTGTGCCAACAATGTCCTTTAACACATCCCTTTTCTAGACCGGAACACTCATGAGTCTACAAAATAGATTTGCCATTTAAACAATGTGGTACAAAATGGGAAAATTAGGATTGCGTTGGTCTGAAAATAGCAACACATTGCGGCAAACACATCTTGGGCTCTATTTTGACGGTCCATGCGCAGAGCGCAAAACGCAGGACGCGTTTTTGCTAATTTAAGGACGGGAAATCTGCCTTGCGCCGTGGCACATGGTCTAAAAGGGTTGAGTTTATTTTCTTAATGAGTTATAGGTGTGTTTTGAGAATAAACCAATTAGAGTCTCATCTCCCATTCCCTTTAAGAGTCAGCTGCATCGCGCCAAGAGTGCATTTGCTATTTACAAGACGCAAATTAAGTCTAAGTGGAAAAAATGAGCATTTCACAAGCAAACAGTTAACAGTTTTTTGAGAGATGAGAGATAATGGAACTACTTTCACATTCGCTCTTGGATAGGAAAACCTTTACGCACAGACATCAATTAGTCTATAAATAAATACTTTTGTTTGTTAAGCGCAAATATTCGTTTCAAAACTCTTTCTAAATTCAGTTCTAATTTCCAGCAAACGAATAAATGAATAATAGTAACAAAATGTGCTCAAAAACCTGAGTTATATCCTAAAACACATGCTGTGCCCCATATGGTCTAAAATCTGACAGGTGGGCAAATCTAAGCTTGTTTTTAATAAAACAAATATAAATATGGACATAATAAATAATATTGCTAACAATAATAACATTATACAAAAGCAAATTGTTATGAATGAACTGAAAAAGCCTCCCGAGATGAAGAAGACATAAAAGCAGTGGTTTTTCATATTTATGTAGGCTAGAAAATAATATGTTTTGTAATATTTTAATCCTTTATATTTATATCCTATATGTATTCTTATTATATCCTATATATATCCTTAATATTTACATTTTTTCATATGTAAAGATATTTGCCTATTGCTCTCTTGTGCGTATTAAGCAGTGTGTAAGCGAGGCGCAACTCTGCAGAGTTTAGACCGGGTTAGTTTTGGTCTAATGAAAAATCTGTTATAGTTTCTCAAAATAGCAACGCGCCAGTGGTCCGCCTCAGAACGCCTTCCTTTTTAGTCCAGAACGCCTATGGGCGCACAAATGAGCGCTAATGCATTTGCCATTTAAACAGCGTAGCGCAACGCCTCAAAACGACTCTTGCGCCAAGCTGAAACTACCAAAACACTATTGCGCCGTGCCTTGCGTCACACTGCGGCGGGTGTATGATAGGGCCCCTTATGCCTTATTGTGCCGGGTGTATGATAGGGCCCTTTGACTTTGCAGAATATGATTTGTGGAACTTTATTTAAGGTAATCTTTATTTTATTTCATACCCAACTCATTTACTGTCTGTTTAACCATCTTTAAATCTCAGAATTTACAATGCATCTCTTGTAATTGTATCAAACAAGGTAGACGTAGACTTTTGGCACGTCTTTTAGCTGTGACCTCATGTAAAATTTAAAGATTTGACGCATCCTCAAATGCCAATGGAGTTCCATCTTAAAAGGCACATCCACAAGTCTCCTCAATGGCAAACCCCTTCCCAATGGGGACACGAGGTCTAAACAGACTTCCTCCTCGTGGATTCTACCCCATCAGAATCAAGAAATTAATGCATTCTCTATTGCTTTGCTTTCACATGCAGAAACACCTTGCCTGAAACTCCCAAGCTCTCCTAGATTCTATAAGCAAGACAAATTCTGACCAATGCAAGCTTTTTTATCTATTTAGTTTAACAATAGAGATGTCTTTAGATAATAACAACAGTGGTTGCTTGTAAATATTTATAATAGTCATTACACAACTGTACCCACATTTGACAGTCTGTCTTTGACAAACAGAGTCACTTTAAATGTGTTGATTTTGGCACATGTTGTACTAATTTGTTGTAGGTTTAAGTTTAATTTTTCCTATAAATATACTGCACATTTGCAATCTACTGTATATTCTCACCTAAAAATTCTGAAAAGTATGTGGTCAAACAGCTGCAGTATTCATCAAACTATAGTGTGTTTGGTACTTTGCTTGGCATATTTGGCTCACTGCTGTCTTTGTCATACACATGGGTGAGGAGGCTGGAACAGTGCCGATAAGCCAATCAGATTTGAGAAATAGAATTCCTGGCTCATGAATCAGTATCAATTTAAACAAGATGTCAGTTCAAATCAGTCACTGATTTGTTTGTTAAGCAAATCAGATTCATAATATATTGTGCCTAATAATTCAATTTTGCAAATAAAGAAGGGTATATTTATCAAAGAGTTGTACATGCTTTACATTGCCTATGTGGATGTTTAGTATTGAATCAAGCTATTAAATCACTTATGACAGATAAAGTAATTAAAAAAAGTAATGAAATTAAATTTTATTGATGTAATTAGTAATTACCAGTGATCTATTTTTAAAGTAACTCACCCAAAACAAGAATAATTTTATGTGCACTTCAAAAGTAAAGCATCATACTATTATTTCCATTTCAAGTTAAAAGAAATTGGGTGAATGGAGCCATAAAGCAAATTATTATAGGTTTGATTTGCACTGTTGCTCATTTATTCACATCAGCACAATCCAAAGTTCTACTGTGACGCCAACACAGCACACTTCAGACAATAATAATAGAAGTAAAAAAAAAAAAAAAAAAAACTGCCATTGTGAAGTACACTATTTACACAGAACACAAGACAAACAATGATTACTCCTTTTGTTATATGGACTTTCATTGACATTACCTCAATTCCAGTAGAAACATGAGTCATTCTCTCTTTCAATCATGCTACCATCACGAGAGGCACTTGTAGGATCGGAATCATTACTTGGACCATAACGAGGCAGCGTGTGGTCATTTACATAACTGATTGCGCCAGTAATTTGGTTATTTTGGGGGAGATGTGTCTGTGATTGGTGGATATGAGTGTAATCAGTCCGCTGGTTTTCTCAAGTGCTCTAGTCAGAGAGGTTTTAACTCTGTCAGGCTTTTGGCTTTTACTGAAGAGAGCACTAGGTGGGGACATGATGTTACAGTAAATCAGTGAATTTGATTGGGAGTTCAGCAGGATCAGAAGATTCTAGAATGTTCTGTTCTGTGAGAAGACTACCTACCAGTAGCAAAGAATGATGGCAATATAAATGCTACTTTTAAGAGTGCTATGAAGAGGCTAAACTTTGTAAATTATTGGCATTGGCCAAAAAAGTTTTGCTTTTTTATAGAAAAAGGCAGGAACTTACTGTTCCTTATTCTAGCTGAGAACCATCAACGAAGACGTACAGTAAAGAAACCTTCTGACATTACCGCAAGCCAGCATAGAGAAAATAGTGAAAATTATGGTGTCCTTTACTCATCTATTTTAAAAGCAAAAAATAAGCACATTTGATATTCAGAGCAAAATACAACAAAGTTATACAAGTTTGGTAACAATTTACAAATACGTTTAACTTCTTAACTTTAAAAAACATGCAATAGTTAAAATGAACAATATAACAACGCATTAAGTAATACATCATTAACTTTAAATAATGTAATAATTTCACTGTTTAAATTATTTAATAAACCTGCACTGTGAATTGAAAGTTGTAAATAAATCTAACCTCACCCATCTGAAATGAAATGAAAAAAAAAATCAAATAAAATTAATTAATTTTAATATTTATTTCAATCCATTTATCAGCAAACAATTAAATATGTTTTATGTATTTCATTCATTCATTCATTCATTCATTCATTCATTCATTCATTCATTCATTCATTTATTCATTCATTCATTTATTCATTTATTCATTCATTCGTTCATTTAATTATTCATTTTCATTCAGCTTAGTGCCTGATTTATCAGCGGTTGCAACTGTGAAATGAACCACCAACTATGCAGTGGATGCCCTTCTAGCTGCAACCCAGTACTGGGAAACTATATGTATATCTCTTTATAATATTTCTTCTTTTTTCAATTCATTTAACCAAAATATTTTTAGAGCTTCATTATTACTGCATGCTGTATTTGTTTGCTTAATCAGTGGCTTTGTGAGCTTTGGTTTATTTGATGTGCATAGGCTTTATAGACCTTTGAAATATCTAAAATAATATGATAAAAGAAAAAGAACTAAGAAGCCTTTGACCGCCTGCAACTCCTTCAGCTGTACAGTTACTGGACTAAAATGAACTAAAAACAACTAAAAAAACTAAAAACTAAACTAAAAAGCCGCACACCTTTTGTTAACTACATTTGTTAACTAATCAGAATCGTCCAACAACCATATACAAGAAGTATAACAATATATATATATATATATATTGACACATATTGCAGCTGTTTGACAACATCATGTACTTTGAGGCCATTTTGGGCAAAAATTTAGCTGTTAAGATTGCATATAGGCAGTTTATTTATAAGGTTAGTGCCTAGTTTAAATATTTATAATGTCTAAAAACAGTGTGTCAACATCCATTAGTCTGTCATTGTGCAGAGCAAAGACTGTTAACATAGTCCATCCAAAAGATGGTAACAGAGACTGCATAATAAGCCCTTGGAGGAGAAAAGATTGGCATATTTTCAAACTACAGTTGATCAAAACATTATAAAACAGGTGAGTGACTTTCTGAGTCTCTCTTTTTATGTTTCAGTGCTGTAATTATATACCAAAGTAATTGCAGTGTATTGAATGTGAGATGGGACTGACATGTATGTTGTGTTGGCCACTCTTTGTATAACCCTAAGTTACTTTTTGGTTGGCCAACTGTTGGTTTCTTATGAGTCTTCTGTTTTCGTTCTGCACATTCCTGCATGTGTTTAGTGTTTTCCTCATCACAAACACAACAGTAATCTAGTAGTGATTGCATTGCTTTGTTTTTTCAAGGTTAATTTTTGTGATATCCCGATTGCAGTGAAATACTGAAATCTCTGTAAATTGATGGCGTTCCATGCCGTTAAGCCATATAATTTAAAAATGTCAGCACTAGATATTATGCTAGAGAGTCATTCAAATACTAGCTCTAAATTGATGTTAGTAACGGTTCCTGCTGTTCTGATGTCAGCTGTAGATGTGATGGAATGGAGGAAGATTATAGTTCCTCATACAAAAGGGTTTTTAGACTCTTGTATTTAATAGAATTTTTTATATACACATTCTTTTTTTAAAGCATTTTTATAGTTTATTATTATTTTTTATTTTACAACTATTTTAAAACATGTATAGCTAGGACATAAAAAATACATACCTCTAACAATAAGTTCAGCAAAGTTCGACACTGCAGCTCCAAATGTTGACTGGGTGATGCACCTATAGAGGTCCTGCTCTCCACGCTGAGCTCCTCCCACCTGGAACCAAGCAACTAATCGCCGCTCACCAATGGATGACGTCACAGAGTATGGGGCCATCAGAACACCATTACGCCTCTGAAAAAGAAAGTACAAGGTACAAGATGCTGAATCTCTCTTCTCTATTTTCATTTGTATTTACACTCAAACAATATACTCATTACATTAAAAATGCATATGCAAATTTCTGTTTTGACATTATGATCAGTGAGAGGCACAGGTTTACATCCGATGTCTGCAAACTGATTTTTTATAATTGACATTTTCTTGTTAATCATTGGCCAACTCGGCATTGCATTCAACAATATGACACTACACCAACACAAACACTTCCTCTAGATTCATTTCTGACAACATTTCTTTGAAACAGCTTTCTCATAAATAATCATGCTTATTACACATATGTATAGTAAACCCAATCAAGTCACTAAAAGCCAAACATAAGCCTAAGAGAGCTTGGAAAATGAAACATTTGTCAATTAAACGTACGTTTACAAACAAACATATAGAATGAAATCATAATACTTAGAGGGTAGTTCAGAATACTGGATGACAGAACATGATTTGATTTATGAAAACAGCATGCATAGTTTTATATATGTTGTATAATGCAGATTGATGTTAAATAAATACAACATGAAGCTTGGTACACAATGTTTTATTAGTTTATATAGTATAACACAATAAATAGATGAGGTCATATCAATCAACAATTAATAGACTTTAATAATTTTGCATTGTGATAAGTTAAACATTTATTAATGCATTATTAAAATTAAAAGTCACACATGTTTATTTAATTTAATTGACTTTATTAAAACCGCTTAATTAATTTGTTTGTTTGTTTAATTAATGAACAGAAGGTCAGCTGCATATTATTAAGCATTATAAATAATAATAAACCATGTCATAATTTATTTTATAATGTAAAATTCTTCTTCTTATTATTATTATTATTATTGTTATTATCTATAGAAGATGATGATTATGATGATGATGATGATGATGACAATGAAGATAAAGATAGCATATTGTTCGTTCATTCATTTATTCATTTTCTTTTCGGCTTAGTCCCTTTATTAATCAGGGGTCACCACAGCGGAATGAACCGCCAACTTATCCAGCATTTTTGTTTTATGCAGATGATGTCCTTCCAGCTGCAACCCATCACTGGGAAAAACCCATACACACTCATTCACACATTTACACTACGGACAATTCAGCTTACCCGATTCAACTTTACTGCATGTCTTTGGACATGTGGGGGGAAACCAGAGCACCTGGATGAAAGCCACGAGAACACAGAGAGAACATGCAAACTCCACACAGAAATGCCAACTGAACCAGCCGAGGCAGCAACCAGTAACTTTCTTGCTGTGAGGCTACATCGCTACCCACTTTGCCACTGCGTCGCCCCCATGGTAAATTGATAACAATTACATTTGTTCAGGCAGCATCTCATTTTATGTATTCTGATTAAAAAGCATGAGTCATGAATCACAATATTTTATGATGCATAAACAGAGCAAAGCTAAACTTAAAGGACCAATGAGGAGATGGTATATTCTGATTACATGTTTGACTGTAATGATGATGACCAAACCATTGATTTCCTCAATTGTTCAAATCTAACCACCATCTGTTAATAGCCTATAATATATAAGAATGACGCCTAAAGGTGTCAATTTAGGAAAACTAGTGCTGTATTCAGAAAGTGAGATGCAGGGTGTTTATGAAGAGAAGGAACACACAGTCCCTTCATTCCTCTAACACACACACACACACACACACACACACACACACACACACACACACACACACACACACACACACACACACACACACACACACACACTCCAGGTGTTTGGACAAAGCGCTACTCACACAGGAAGTGAATTCACAAAATTCATGAAAGAAAGAGTCTGCCATTAAAAACAAATTAAGAAAAAAGGGTATTTCAGAAGATATTCAACCTTTATTTAGCTTACTTATGTCAGTTCAAACCTGTATGACATGCATTTCTCTGTTGGCAGAAAAGGCAAAACAATGCAGAGAAAAAAAGCTGCATTTTAACTTAGTTTCTCTCAGAAATTGAGAGTAAAACATAATCAAGGATAAAGAGCAGGAAACATTTCAGAAACAGGAATTTCAAACAGTTTTTTAAACTTTAGTTGATGTGTGATGTAGCTGTGTAAACATAAACATAATCTCTGAATGTAAGACGTTCAAAGTTCAATGCAAAGGGAGACATTGGCTTTTACAGAGTTAGCTTAGCAAATTCTACAGCAAAAGAAGTTTGGGCAATACAAAAAAATACTTGGGGCTAGTGAGATCACAAGGGCTTCCGGTTACGTACATTCACTATGCACACACACCCTGCGAAGTGAAGGGGCACGACCAGAGGCGCTGTAATGTTATAGCAGAGAAAACTAAAATGCCTCTAAACCCTGCAATTTCCACAGAGCTTTTTTCTGTTTCTGTATTTGGGCTTCCAAAGAATACGACACAAAGAAAGAAGTGCTACCAATTTAATTTTAATTAGGTTCCAGATAATTATAAAAATATATAGCTCTAGCATTTGACAAAGGACAACTTCAACATTCTCTCTCAGTTCAGTGCTGGATTCAAATAAAACCTTCTCCATCAGACTCCATTAAAATGTGGATTGTAAGCCACAACCTGTAAGTATTTTTATTTGTTAATTTGATCAACTACATTCACGGTTTCTAGAGTTAATGGTATGTTATAGTGAAAACATAAACAAGGATGTAAACAATGAGAAATTCTCTTTGGCACCTTTAACAATATGACTAGAAATTCAAATTTATCCGTCAAAGCGATATAAATAGTCACAATCTTCAACAGCGCTGCAGTGTCTCTCTATTCGACCGCTTTCCCTGCATTCTACATCTCAAATAACAAACTTGAAAAAGATCGAAAAGTACCAAATCGTGAGACCACTGTGTTGTATCGAACCGAACCGTGATTATTGTGAACCATTACACCCCTAATATTGTTTTGTGTTTTGTGTCGGGGTCCAGGGGTGGAGCAAGCATGAGCAGGCTAACACTATAGCCAGCAATATTGCTAATGAGTGCATGTTTTAAAAAAGTGATATTCTGAGTTCAAAAGCGATGGTCTACTGTTTAATAGGGATGGCTGAAGTGAAACTGACGTTTCGACATAGAGTCGGGATCCCAAAGCACAAGTGTTTCGAAACACTGCATCGAAGCATAAAAGCAATGAAGCTAAAAGAAAAAGAAGAAGAAGAAGAAAAAGAACAGCAACAACAACAACAACAACAATAAGGATAACAACAACAACAATAGCTACTTTCCCACAGTGATAATGGTAAATATCCGGAAAATTTCTCAGAACTACTTTACCAGTAAATTCATAAAAGCATTGTTCACACAGGCAAGGACGTTACAGATTTTTTTCCAGAAAAGACCATTCACACATCCATTCCAAAATACTGGTAAATTCTGACATCATAACCAGAAATGAGCTCTAAACAGCTGTGCTTGTATTTGTAAACATTTGACTACATTACAAACTCTGTGGACAGATAAGTATAGTGAACAACATTATTGAAAACATATGGAGGAACACTATCGCATGTCAAGATGTTCATAATATATGTGTGTGCTGGCTGCTTTACGTGCACATGCATCAGAGCTAGATGTTAAACAAACATTGGTTTATCATAAGCATTATATAGATATACCCAGTTGGCGTTAAGAATGAACATAGAAACATTATATGACTAACATCTAGCAGCTAAATGTGTCTGGAAAAATAATCACAGGTTTTTATTCTCATAAACTGCGCGGACGTGAATGCGTCTGAGAGTTCTGATTGGCTAAAGAGGACGTCCTCATGTTGTAGACATGAACATGCTATTTCTGGCAATCTTTCTTCTGCATTTACACAGAGAAGCATTCCAGCAAATCACCGGTAATGTTATAACTTCCCTTTCCAGAAAAAAGCCAGAATGAATTTACCGTTACTTTTAAAAAGGACTATTCACACATACAGACATTTCCGGAAAATTATCAGTAATTTTCCGGTAAGGTCTGTATGTGTGAAAGGGGGTATTGACAACAACAACCCAACAGCAGCAGAAGCAACAACAACAACGACAACAACATAAAGACACCATATTAAATCTTATTTTAAAGTCAGTTAATAGAGTATCTGTTTTTCAGCTTTATTTTAGTAAACATTACTGTTTTAATGTTTACTTTTACTTATCAACAACAACATTGGTTTGAATGTCTATACTGAGAATAAGACAGATATAGACTGCTTTTATGATACATTTATGGTGTTTTGTTCTTGTTTGGAACGGGATACCCACGGTCACTAGCAGCTTTCATTTTACTGCAAAGACCAGCATGAGCACTGCAAAACATATCACTTTGTATTAAATCAAAGAAAGAAACGTCAGGCCTGGAAGAATATGAGAGTGAGTAAATGATGACAAAATATGCGTTTTGGTAAGAACTAATCCTAAAACACACATCATGTTGGACGTCTAACAACAACGCATCTTTTGTTGCCTGCAAATGCACTTTTCTAAAAGCCTTAATCTTTTCTGAATTGCTTAGAAGCATTTGTGATGCCAGCAAAGCAAATGAGAAAATAAACAGAGAACAGAAATGGCTGGCAATTATACAAATGATGTAAATATCAACATTTTACGCCTCACCACACTGTGCCTTACGGTCACGCTAGAGCACCAGGATAAATACTACACTTCAATTAAAATGGAAAGAAAACTTTCTAATGTGAACGCGCGTTTTGAACTCTTTCCCCCTGCCTGAGAAGAGATTCTGCTAGTGAACTGATGATGTGCACAGACAGATTTGTTTGTACTATTTAAACTGCAGTGAGAACATAACTGAGAGAAGCTCAGTCCAATGAGGATTCGCTCTAAGCCAAAACAGGATCAACATGGAAGCTGCAATTAAAGTCACTTGACAAGAAATCTCAGTGGGGAGATCTTTATATCACAGGTGAAAGGATATTCAGAGCTAAATAGCTGGAATTGTGGATAGTAAGGAATGTAATGTAAG